AAAACAAACTCCCATTTTCCTAAAACAAACTCCCATTTTCGAAAAAACAAACTCCCATTTTCGTAAAACAAACTCGCATTTTCGTAAAACAAACTCCCATTTTCGAAAAAGCAAATTCTTAATCTCGAAAAACGAACTCCCATTTTTCAAAAGTGGATGTCCCTTTGGGGCTTCCGTATCACCATCCTTCCAGTGCCTCAAAAACGAGGGCCTACTCGCGGGCTTACCCACGGTATGGAGTCAGATCGAGTACAAAATTCGAATTTTCATTTCGCGTCTTCCTGTGTTTAACAAATCGTAAAAATCTATGCTAACTAGATCAAATGACTAATCACCGTGTAACCTGAGTTCGGGCTGTATGGAGGAAGAGAGTTCCTGAGTACGTGTTTGTTATGGTCGCATGAAAAATAAAAAGCAAGACAAAAACACTAGACCTGATACAATTCTTCCATAAAATCTCTCCAGGTCGACATCGCAAGAGTTTAATTGGCTAAATGAACAATAGCCCCCGCTTAGAGTGAAAACACATGCGGGTTTCGCGGGGACTCTAGAGAATGTTGAATGACACATGTCACCTGTTTTCTTCAACTGGAGATTTAATATCCAGATCTAGTTAATGTGTATTAGCTCGGCATGAAAACGTAACGTTCAGTTCCAGATTGAAATATTAATGCAGAGAATCATATCATGCGACTATTTTGCGTTATTTTGCAGAGACCCGCTTAAGACCAATGATTTATAACGCACGTGCAGAGATTACCTATCATTCTATTTCAAAAGAGAATGAAGGGTAAGAGAATTAATTCCCCGAAAAAGACCTTACCCCTAAGCTAATCCCGCTAAAGTTATTATTAAATCACTGCAGGTTTCGGAAATCTAGGAGTGGATCCAGAAAAGAACAATCCCAGGTGGTCATACACGCCTTTATATCCCCCATGAAAACATTCTCTTAACGCGCGTTAGATGTAAATGGATAATTAAGTTCCTGAGAAGACTAAAAGAAGGACATTAACGGTTTCTTGACTTTAAAAACTCGAAAAAGCGGGTGCTCGTGCGTAAACAGCTGCAAATTTACCAAGGAAAATTCAATACGTGCGATTTTGTTTAAGCGTAAAGTTCAATAATGCGTAGAAAAATAATTGGAAATCGTTATTTGCGTTAATTATAGTTAGAATTCTACTAAAACAATTAGGTTATTCGCTCTCAATTTCTATGAGGCGATAGTTGATGAGGCCGAAGGCCGAATCAACTATCGCCTCATAGAAATCTCTAGCTCATAAAAACAGGATGAGGTGTTTGTGATATTCAGAACAATCAAAGTCGAAGTTGGGGTTCTCAGTCGAAGCCGAAGGCTGAGGCTGATAACCCTTACCGAGACCTTGATTATTCTGGATATCACAAAAACCAAGAGATTATCAAGGTAAGAGAGTGAATCCCCCATATAGGCCTTCTACCCAAGGTAATCCCCCTTAAGTTATTTTTAGACATGGTACCCAGTTCTTCCGAGGATGTTCCTCGCGCGATGAGTGGACAGCCGAAGCGACTTTCTCGAAACTACCTGAGACGAAATGGCAGGAACGTCATTTTATATGTTTTGGTTTCGTTTCATACCAGAGACGTTTTCTGCACTCTNCATGAAAACATTCTCTTAACGCGCGTTAGATGTAAATGGATAATTAAGTTCCTGAGAAGACTAAAAGAAGGACATTAACGGTTTCTTGACTTTAAAAACTCGAAATTATTGAGCGCGCTCGTGCGTAAACAGCTGCAAATTTACCAAGGAAAATTCAATACGTGCGATTTTGTTAAAGCGTAAAGTTCAATAATGCGTTGAAAAATAATTGGAAACCGTTATTTGCGTTAATTATGGTTAGAATTCTACTAAAACAATTAGGTTATTCGCTCTCGATTTCTATGAGGCGATAGTTGATGAGGCCTTCGGCCTCATCAACTAAAAACAGGATGAGGTGTTTGTGATATCCAGAACAATCAAAGTCGAAGTTGGGGTTCTCAGTCGAAGCCGAAGGCTGAGGCTGATAACCCTTACAGAGACCTTGATTATTCTGGATATCACAAAAACCAAGAGATTATCAAGGTAAGAGAGTGAATCCCCCATAT